TTGGAGTTAAATTGAAATAATTTAATAATTAATTAAATGACAAATAGATAAAATAATAATTAAATTACCGAAATTATTCATTCGCTCAATTTAACTCGAACTTAAAACTACTCACAACAATAATTCAGTTATCTATTTTAATTGCAAAATTTTATTATATCTAAAATTAACTTTAAAATATTCTATAATTAATTTCAGAATAGCTTCATAAGTCTTTTAACACATTTCAATTAAAATAGATAAATGAATTATTGTTGTGAGTAGTTCTAAGTTCGAGTTAAATTGAGCGAATGAATAATTTCAGTAATTTAATTATTACTTTATCTATTTGTCATTTAATTAATTATTAAATTATAATTTAATTTCGAACTAACCTTCAAATTTCAATTTAACTGCTATCTAATTTTAGTTATAATTTTATCTATTTGTCATCCAATTTTGTCATCTAATTTGCATACTTTTAGGCGCTTTTTATTGCTGTACAATAAATTATTGACAAATATTCAAATTTTTATATTTCCATGCAAAAATGCAACGGTGTAACATTTCAAAAGAAGATAAAGATAACATTGATAAATTGCGTGAAGCAGTAAAGGATGAGGTAAGCTTTTCTGACTTTAAATTTGCATATATTAATTGTTGTAGATGAGTAGTAATTGTGTATAAATTTTTCGAAGTGACAGATTTACCCTTCGATCTAAGGAATTTATCAGTTCTATGCAAATAAATTGAAGTCCTAAAAAAGTGACATTTGTGAATACGAAGTTTGGTACCAAATAATTTGCTTGCATAACAAAATGAAAAGTTTTCTTGCTTTTTTTAGAAAAGTTTCTTGTTTGTTTTTTTGTCGTATAGAAATTTCTCCTTCTGAATTTTTTAAAAATACATTTGCAAATACTCGTTTATATAATTCCGTCTAATTTTGTTTAAGTAAATTACTCGTACGGAACTTGGATTTTAAAAATAATGCAAAAATATATACAGATAAAAAATAAAAAATAACAGCCATGTGTATATTTTGGCTTGTTAATGCTGTTTTACTTTAAGTTACAATTATGGTAAGTTAAGGGAAGCCAAAATTTCAGCTCACACCTTATTATGACACAGATTTCAATTTGCTCCGATGGCTTCAAGGTCACAACAGTAATTTCGATATTGTAATACCAAAGTTGAAAAGTCATTTAGTCTTTAGACGATCAAAATGGGATTTAGATCACCTCGCGGATAAACCACGCAACCACCCTGTGCATGAGTACTGGAAGGTATTTAATTAATTAATTATTTATATATTTATTTACTTAGTTATTTCCACTTCACTGGATTTTTGAGTCTGTTGCATTTATTTCAAAGAGTTTCAAATTTTTATTTAATTAAACCAAAACATTAAGTTGTACTATTACATTATATTTTTAGACTGACAATTTTTTTTAAAAATTCAATACGTAGCAATTGTCTTTGTAAATTACATTTATTATTGCACGATGTGTATATTACTATATACTGTATTTTTAAGTTAAGTTCAATTTATGTTAATTTCTGGCAATAATAGCAACTTTTCTATTTGCATGATGTCAAAATATACGTAATAATTCACGCTTTTTAATCATTCATCAGCATTTTTGTATAATTTTAACTGAGTTACTGTTCACGATTTCAGTCCGGAATAACGGGTCCAGCAGGAAGAACACCAAACATTATTGTTAACGTTGAACAGACAGGTAGAAATGACTACTATGGAATCTTGCATACATTTCCAGTTAATGAGATTCTAGCTGCAAGATTGTATGACTTGGAGACGATGCTGCGTTTAGTGATGCGAATGGAAGAGGAAACTGGTAGCATACACATTGCATTAAACTAAGAGTTCAAATTTATTGAAACACTAATATAAAACAAAATAAATTTTTTCGAGCTGATTCAATTTAGAAGCATTTTACTGTGGTATATTGAAGCTTTAAGTGATAAACTTAATTCAAATTTGAATTTTTCGCTTCAGAATTCTTAATAAATTGAATTAATTCTAAATAAGAGTAATGCTTTGCAGTGACAAGTTTGATATGAAAATTATGCATTTCAAATTTGTGTATTCTATAAAAATTAACTTAAAATTGCTATTAAAATAAGACTAAAATTAGTGGATACAAAATGTTTTTCATCATTAGTGAGCTCTAAACAATTAAATCAAAATAAAGTTGTGCTCTGTGAAAGAATGAAAATTAAATACTACATTAATATTTAATCAAAAATATTTGAAAGCAAAGTTTTATAAAAATTTTTTGAAGTAAAAATTATTATTCGTAGGTCAGCAAGCTTCTATAATGTATGTAATGGACTTGACCGACTTGAAGTTTGATAAGCATCTTCTGGGCTTAGTGACCGGTTCCTTGTCCGGTATAACCAATTTTATGTCCGACCATTACGTGGAAATGGTGCATAAATTTATTTTGGTTAATGCGCCACCTTTTATAGCCACAATTTGGTAAAAAATCATTTTTCGTATATATTTTTCATTTGCTATTAATATTTGTACCACACATACCTTTGAAATACCACTGTATTTTTGAACAAAATTAGCAAAACAGTTTTGTCATCGTTTATTAAAATATTACTGCAGTTATTTTTTTCTTTGCTTAATTATTTTTGAGTTGCTAATTTGTTTGTTTAGGACAATTGCAAAGCCATTACTACCAGAACGAACTCGAAGCAAAGTAGATATATTTGGTTCTAATTGGAAGACTGAAATTCAAAACATTGCTGATCCAGAAGTACTTCCAACATTTTGGAACGATGATGATATTAAGGTTAATTATTTGAATAATTGAAGTATAATATTTTTAAAATTTCAAATGACAATCCAGTTATCCTTCATTTAATAACTGACTGCAATGAGTAATTCATGTTCTGAAAAAAAATTTGTTACATTTATTGATATGAATTGACAAAATGTAAATTAAATGTTACAGTAAAATGATTGTATGAAAAAGGTGTTTTTAAGTTTTTGATTACAAATTATAGATATTCAAAGCAAAGTTAGAATTGTCAAAAGCTCTTGATCCGGAAAAATACTTCACAGGTGAAATGGATCCGAACTGTAAAACAATTTTAGTTCCACCTGGAAAAACAGGCTCTATCGATGTTAAAGCCACAAAGGTTATTCTTGTATTATTAATTTAAATTGCATAATCAGTGTTTTTTGTTTCAGATTATCTAAATAAAATTTGCATACAAATTTGTTATCTAAATTACAAAAGAAAGAAAGTTATATACATGCAAATTATTATCACTAATAGTTTTTAATTGCATAAAAGTCAGTCAAAAAGTTTGGAAAATTGTCTGATATCTTTATTTACAATAGTCTATCAAAATAATATTTTTGATGAAACTTTTGTAATTTTCAAAAATTTTATTAAAAAAACTTTAATAATTATAAAAATTTAATTAAGATTTTTTTACATTTTCAGAATTCTAACGTAAAATGGTGTATTAAAGGGGACGGATATTTTATTTTCACAATATTTTTTATCGATAATCGATCTGATCAAAATCCAACTTCACAAAATCTTATCTATCCTAAATTTCAGGCAATTTATTTTTTCTTATTTTTTAAACTTTTGAAAAAAGTAAAAATAGTAATTTTTCAAATTTTTGAAATAACTTTAAAAAAATCGCATCAAGAGTGAAAACTTTTCTAATTTAAGTGCCTACTTAGTAAAGTCTTTATTTTTAATACTTCAAAATTGAACTCACCATTTTTTGTTAAAATTAAATTATCTAATTTAATGAATATCTTAATATAAACTTCGATGCCAAGAGAAATTACGCGTTCCACGTAGCGAAAAACGCAATACCATCTGGCGCAATATTAATTATTTTGCTATTTTTTATCAATTAATTTCAAATACAAAAAATTTGATTAAATTTTTATAAAAAGGACAAATCACTTTTTGGTTTTTTTTTTTGCATAAATAAATCAAAATTAAAAAATTTTTACTGAAAATACAATTTCAGCAAACTCCTGCAACATCAGTTGTGCCAATGAGAGACGAATTGAAATGTAGCGAAGATGGCATTTATAAGTTTTGGTTTAGCAATGAACAAGCGTGGTTTCACACGTTGAATTTACAATATCTAATTGACGTGATTCCAGAAAACAATCAATAAATTCACTTATAAATATCATATTATAAATAATCTTAGTAATGTTAATAATCAATGTTATCGTTACAGTTGGAATTTTTATTATGTCTGTATGAGGAGGCATTAATTTGTGATCAAAAAAACTATAAAATTTTATAAAAGCTAACATTTGCATAAAAATGCTATGAATACAAAAAATAACAATAGTAATAATATTATTACTAATTATTATTAATATCATTATTAAAAATATTAAAAAAGTAAAAATTTTGGAGAATATTCGATGATGAAAAGTAATAAATGTATGATGTCACTTTTTACAGAGAAGTCGAATTCACAATGCGTGAAATTACTGGTTTTTTGACGTACTTTGACTTACTTATTCCATTAAACATAACATATTACTGAATTTATTCGTCTGATGCAATGTGTTTTGGGAGTCAAAAAATATACATATATATATTCATCATTTCCAGTGATACATATAATATGGTAAATGCAAAAAATTCTTGCATATTTTTTTAAAAAAAGTAAAAAGTGTTTTCATAAGTAATGTTGTATTTATTTATTTACTGAATAATGAAAAAGCTAAAAAGGATAAAAATACTTCTTGATTAATGTAACTAACATCTATCTATTTGAATATGCAAATTAATATCATTTCCATCTGTTTTATTTCAGCAAAATGTTGTAAAAATAATTAGTATTATTCAGTGCTAAGCGCAAAATTACTTTTTGATTAAGCAAAAAAAAATGCTTTTAAAAAATTATCGTTTTTTTAATTTGTCACCAAATTACGTTTTTTCAATTTATTAACATTTTTGTAAGTAATTTTACAGCAGTGAATAATTATTTATAAAGTAAAGAGTAATGTTAATCACTTGGTTTTATTAATTTTTGATCAAGTTCAATTTCGGTAGCAAATCATGATAAAAATGGTATGTTACTAATACCATGTTTATCTTATTATTATAAAAATCGAATGCATGAACCATATAAAATCCTTGAAAATTGCAATCCATCCAGACTTTTTGTAGTTGAAAGTTACGCAAATTCCGTTGTACTTATCATACTTATAATTTATTTAAAAATTGCATTGACATCTGAAAAATACAAAAATTTTAATTTAAAATATACTCGAATTACTAAATTATTTTGCGTTTTGTTTTTTAAATTATTTAAAAATTTAAAATTCCTTTTGGAACTAAATACTCAACTCAAAAATTAATATTTTATTGGAATATACTCGTATTTAAGCATTTAAATTTTTAACGCAAAAATCAATTGCATCTGTGATAATTATTCATAGTATAATAATTGCTATAATAATAATAATAAT